ATTTTGTAAATGAAGAGAATCTATCGATACCCACAGTGATATATCGACATTTAACCTTTTTGGCAGTTAGAAGAATATATTTTAATGTTCATTGCAATTTCGGTATTTAAGAATAACTAATCTCCGTAAATTTCGAATTTACTCAGAATTTATTTCGAAACTAATTTTAAAGTAAATATTGTAAATATGCAACTTTTGTCTTTAGAGGATTAAGAATTTAAACAAATCTGGAATCAAATTGTCTTCGATTTAACAGTTCACCATTCATTTTACAAACACGATCGATATTCTTATATATAAGAATAAGTTGCAAGTAGAACGAAGCAGTCAAATAGACGAGAAAATATAATCTGAATGCAGCTTTTTTTGCAGTTGTCAATTCTACGTCGACCTGTAAGATCGTAACATATCTCACGAACTGCTTTATCCGATAGAGATGATGCGATGTACTGAATTCGTGGCAGTAAGTGGTCCGTAAACTCTGCGCAGGTTTGTTTTCCAAAATGGATACACCGCAGCTTGTTGAAAAATACGGTTTATTATTACCGCAAAAGCAAATGCAACAGCCACAAAAAGCGATATATTTTTCGTGGGAATTCCACAAAGTTTTTTCTCCTGCGTGATTACACGAACATGCGGATCGCTATTAAAATGGTTTGAAGAGGATAAAACAAGCTCCCTGTGGCGTTGTCCCAAAGCATATTTTTTTTCTTGTTGGTACATCGATTTTTTCACGCATGGATTTTGTGAATAATTTGTAAAATCCACATATTACATAATATTATTCTAAAAGAATATATATAACATTAAATATATCATATTAAACATATTTAATATATATTAAATATTATATAAAGAACATGTACGTTATTCACAGAAATCAATTTTTTTTTTCGCAAATTTCTTTCCTTCGAATATTCCGCTCATAAAAGCATCCAGGCGTTGAGAATGAAATTGGCATCCAAAAAAAAAAAAATCTAAGTGCCTCTGCACGATTATCCGACCATCTATTTCAATATTACTGTCCGCCGTAGCATTCACAAATAAAGCGGGCGAGAATGCCAGTGGAAGAGGTCTGAAATACGACCGTCTTTAGAGAACGGAAATGTTCGGTGTACTCGCGACTGCGGGACTCTGTGTGAAATAGCTTTCTAGCGGCCACCAGCGTAAAAGCCAGCCAGCCCAGCTTTGGCGAACAACTGCAGCTGCCGCGAAAAAGCAAATGCAGCTGCAGTGCGCAGCTCTCCCTACTATCAACATGTCATAGCTATTTCTTCTCTCTCTTCCTCTTCCTTTGTCGCTTTTTCACATCTAACAAAAATTTCCCTAATCAAACCCGTCTGATTTACGCCGGAAACCGCTTATTAATATTACAAGTAAACAAATCCCAAATAAAGCATCTAATTGTATTAGTACTACACGCAAAAAAATATTTTGCTGCTCCAGCTAGAGTTATAGCTGTTTTTTGTATCAGATAAAAAATTATACATCATACGCATAGAATTTATAGCACAAATCTAAATTCTATCTCTGTTATTTACATGATTAGATGCAATATATATCCAATATCGCAGTACTTGCTAGAAATTTATCTGTTTTAGCTATTTTTCGTACTTAGATAATTTTCGCTATAACTGCAAGAATCAATACAAGATCATTTTTGGATGCTGAAAATAATGCCACAAGTAAAATTTTAGCACAGAATTCAATCTATGAATAATAGCACAAATTTTAGTCAAATTTTCAAAATAATAGAGGTTTAATGCCAAAAATTATTTTTTTTTTGCGATATTTGACTTTTTTTGTAAAAATGGTTAATGGTTGTCATAAATTTCTAATTATTATCTTTATATTATGACTATAAAAAGATACTAAAATAAAAAGAATGTATTTTATAAGAAATGAACTATACATTCACGACTTTTAATCAGCATTTTAAGATAATGTTAATTTTTTTAAATAAAAATATTGCAAAAAAGCATTTCATATTAAATCTGAATTATTTTGGAAATCTAATATGTTAGTGAAATTTGGTTTGTTTTCAGCATCCAAAAGTCTATACAAAATACTTTGTCTGTTTAAAGTAATTTTTTACTTGATATTATCTATTTATTAATCTAATTTCGCGATAAACTTCTGTAATAAATCATTTATTAATAAAACACAACAATACTCTTTACGCACTATTTAACTCAAGAATCAATTTAACCTGAGAAAAAAATGTAAATTGTTATAAAGCTATTTGATATGGATATAATTTAACATGATTTTTTTCTTTATAATAACTGTTCTTTACCGACCTTTAAATATGCAATTCCATTGAAAATCCATAATTAAAAAATGTTATATTAATTAAAAGCTTTATTTTTTTAAAAATACTATCATTATAAATTTTATACATGCTTATTCCGTTCAATATTTGTTTTTATTTATTTTTTTCACAAAATTGTGCTTAAATTCGTATCCACTGTCTCAGACAGGTACTAATAAAGTTCGAAGAACAATCAGTAATATATAATGTTATTAATAATAATAATTTTATAAAAAATAATTGAGATATAAAAATATCCCATTGTTAAAAAAATTAGATCACTGCTTCTGGATATAAGAATATAGATATAAACTATCACAGTTTAACAAAAGTTTATCTTCGACGAATGGCTGACGAAGAGCAAATCTAAAGAAATTACAACGTGACACATTTAACAGAATCCTGCTTGACATCGTATAGTAAGTAATTCGAGACATACAATGGCAGTATTCTCCGTACGTGGGTGTATTCTTATTGCTCAGAGGGATGATTCAGGCGGGGATAAACGCGGTGGAAGAACGCGAGAGACGATTGTTGACGTAATCGACGAAACGAGACGCGAGGTGCATTATCAAGCATCGAGATACGCGCTCGTGCCCCTATACTCGTACGCAGCTTCATTCGAGCACGCACAAATGGGCTCTTACCCTTGGCAAAGTGCAAAGCGAATTCATATTGACTCGCGACGTTTCTGCAGACCGGATTTAGCATGAGGTGCTCACGTGTAAGCTACAGAATTGAACACCGCATCGGAAACGAGCTTCTCTTACTTGTCGCTGTGTTGTAACGGTGCACATATGCGTTAATTGTCGCAAATTCCTGCAAATTCCTTTGGGCGTTTAAGGGAATCTCAGAGAACGATAATCAACTGTTAAGTGCAGATAGTCAATAAGTCTCCTATAATTTTATTTGCATGTAATTGTTGTATTTGGATATCAGATCTAGCTGAGAGATATTTGATCGCTAAGGAACAAAGTTGCTAATAGTAATAATATGATAATGTAGTCATTGTAATACATATTTAATTTCTAATTAAATTCTCTTTGACTCTTGAATAGGTATTTAAAAAAAAATTTTTTTTAAATTCGCAAGTTTTACTTTTTGATATTTTTTCAAAAGGTATGAATACCTAAATTTTATTTCTTTACGAAGTAATTTTTAGGAATATTTTAAAATTCTTTTTCAACAGTATTTAACTTAAAAATAATCGAAATTTTTGCTATTTAAGTTTTTAGAAAATGTATTAGGAAGAATTAAGGAAGTGTGATCTTCTTAATGCAAAATTATTAAATCAAGATTAATTGATTTCTATTTGAGAAACGAAAAATGGAAGTATGTGATTTGTTTGAAAACAGCTATAAGGATTCTTCGGTAAAGTGGAAAATGATTTATATGCATGCAAGGTTAACGTGGCGTAAAGAGAGTTCCGCGCTTGTTATGCAAGCTGAGCTACGTTAAGAGCGGGTTTTATTAAAAATACCCAAGCTAAAGATAGCAAAGGGGTTGGAAATTTTTCTTTTTTCCCTTTCCTTTCTCCGGTTGCTCTTTCATTTCTGCCCGGAAACGCGCTAATCCGAACCGGTGATGATGGTAAATGAAAGAAGAAACACTCGACGAGACTTTGAAATCAACATAAAGATATCCAATCGACATAATGCAAAGAGAGTACAAAAGGCAGAATAACTCATTTCATTTATAACAATATTGATTATTTATATTATTATTATTAACAATATAAATATTGTATATCATTTTTATGTTGCATACGTTAATTCGAAAATAAACTTCTTCAATTCTGCGATAGTCAAATAGAATTTTACTAATAATAGATTAAACGTTAAAAATTAGAGTGAAATTAATTGATATACTTTAGATTTTAATACAGCTATTTTTTAAATAAAAATAAAAGTCAATGAAATAAAAACAAAAATGAATTAATAGAAATGAGGACGTTTTCAATTAAATTACTGCCTATAGATAGTTTTTAAATTAAGCTGAGATTGTTTCGATTAGAATTGACCAACCCGTACATTTCATCCCTTCTTTTCTTATGCTCTTCATCCATTTATCCGAAAATTGTATCATGTGTCCACTTTTTCTTCGCGCGCTCTGACATCGTTGCTATTACGAAGCGTCTCAGTGCCGGCGGGGAAGTGAGCCGCCAAAGAACCACGCGACAGCTCTTCACTCGGCTTGCCTGGGGTTTTTAATTTGTCGTGCAACAGCCTAGTGTACAGCGTTGGTTTGGGAAACTCGAGTTTTTCGCAGAACGTAGAGTCGTGAAAAAAGCAGACATGCGCTGCAGATACGCGAAAGAAATCTCAAAATGAGCACTGTACCGCGCGTGTGTCGCGTACGAAAGAAAACCATCGCTTCCCTCGAGTGCCTGCTTAAAGGATATTCTCAGTCTATTTTCCTCGTACGATATTCATTTCCTCATATATATGTAATTAAACATCACGTGTATACGGCGTTTTTGTATAGCGTTTTTGTACAATGAGCCGCAATTCAATGCAACGTTGGTTAAATGCAAAAATTAAATAAATAATAAAACGCATGTTTTGTACGTATTACCGAAAGGATATATTTCTGGATGCTTGTTGGAAATAGGAAACTTATATAACTAGCCGTAGGGGCGTTTCCTTGTGTGGTTTGGAAGTCTGATATTGTCGTACAGTCGAGCACTTACTTGTACGGAAGAAGCACCGCCGTGAAGTTGATGGCAATGGAGATTCGCGGGCCAGAAGTGATCAGGTACCGGCACCGGATGTTTGGTGGATACAGTCCAGGATATCCGGGACTGGCTAAAACGCATCCGTCGTGGCAGTCCGTATCCTCGTACACCGAGTCGCATTCTGCAAACAAGAAGAAAGGTACATCAGTAACTTGAAACTCTTGTTTGCTTTCTTTCTCTACAATCCTACGCACAATATATATGTATGTATACATTTATCCTTACCTCTTCAATAATTCAAGGAAATACATGAGAGAGATTTCATCATGTTTTCCTACAATTATCGGAAACATCATTGGATAGAAACAAAATAAATGTATTTCATAAAATCAATTTTTAATATTAGTTAGAGGTATTTTAAAATTAATTCTCTTATATATTAAAATACAGTGTGTGTGTGTGTGTGTGTGTGTGTGTGTGTGTGTGTGTGTGTGTGTGTGTGTGTGTGTGTG